GGATTCCATTCTACCAAACCAAGCCCATTGTACAAAGTACGACGGACACAGCTTTCCTAGGCTAGGGGGCTCATATGAATGACCAAGTGATCCAAGGAAAATGGACTCTGCACAAGACATCATTGCACATAAATCTGCTGGAGCTGAGGGCAGTAAGAAATGCATGCACACATTTTGTGCCCAGAATTGTCAATCGCGCAGTTCAGATCTTCACAGACATCTCCACAATGTTTTATGTGAACAGATAAGGCGGCGCCCACTCCCGCTCCCTATGTGCAGAGGCCATCTGCCTATGGAATTGGTGCGTCCTCAACCAGGTTACACTTATAGCATCAAACCTACCTGGGGCCAGCATCACCATGCTGGACTTTGAGCAGCAACTTTTCTGCGGCCCACAAATGTGAGCTACATCAAGAGGTCATGAATTCAATATTCTACCAATGGGTGTGGCCGTTGATAGACCTCTTCACTTCTCCCCAGAATACCAAATGCCCCCAATTCTGCTCCTGAGTGGGACTCAGCAATTAATCCCTGGAAAATGCATTTCTGATCCAATGGACAGCCCCTCCACTTTTTTCCCCCATGCCTCTTATTCCCAGAGTCCTACACAAGATCTGCACTAACTGGGCTTGTGTCATCCTGATAGCTCTGTTGTGGTTGCACCAGATCTGGTATCCATACCACACAAACTGTCAGTTCAGCTTTCTGTAGTATAAGCCGTAAGTGGGCCCACAAGTCCAAGAGCTGAGGATGGATATTCTCAGTCCTATATTTCATTCCTGGAACCTGAAACACCAGCTGGCCATTATCAGCTTTAACTCAAACACTTGATCTAGGAAACTACTAAGCAGTAAACAAATTTGGTCTCTGTCTCAGCTTCATAAGAATGGCATTGAGCCAGAAAGCAGTCACCCGGTAAACAGCAGGGGATACAGTGAGTCTCACCAGGGACCTACACCTTGGAGGGGGCCCTGGATTCCCCCAGCTGTAGCCATGTCCACTGCAGTTTCTTGCTGTTGCCTTTGCTGCTGGAACTGAAGTACCTCCAGGAGTATGCTATACTGTTGCAGGGCAGCTTACCTTGCCTCTTGCTGTGCTTCTAGCAGTGCCTTCTGTACCATTGCAGCGCTATGCTGCTGCGCCACCGGCAACCTCACCAACTTCTCCTTTACCTATAGTATACAAGTAGAGGTGGCTCAGGACTTCATTCCTGGTATCAGTATAAAGGGCTCTGCCCTTTTTGTGAGCACCCCTTGGTGGCCAAGGGGAGTCTTGTAGTCTCCTGACTGGGTGCCTGCAGGAGAGGAAGTGTCTGGTATGTAGCCTGGGACCAGCCTTCTTCTTACCCCCTGTTGTGGCGGTTGATGGGAGGACCCAGGCCTGCCCACTCCTCTGGGTCCCGGCCCATTGACCCTATAAATAACAGTTACATGCTGAATCTCTAAGAGGTTGTTTACTGTCATGTTCCTTGGGCCACTTCCCTGGGAAACTGCTCTGTTCAGCCCTTTCTTTTGGGCCTTGTGGTCAAGTCCTCCTTGTCCTGGGTTCTGCAAAGAGTTGCTGTTGGCTTACTGGCTAGTCTTTCAGCTGCTGGATCTGGTTCTGATCAGGTCTGAAGTCCAGCTCCCACTTGAAGCTGTCTGGAGTGCTGCTGTTCTCCCAGTCAGCCTTTAGGTCTGCTTGAGTTGGCTCCAGCAAGGAACTGGCAGGCCCTAGCCCAGTAGCTTCCTTTATATCTTACGGCTGGGCCCTGATTGGCTGCAGCAGAGGCGGCCACTCTAGTCTGCTTGGAGGACCTCTCTTCTGCTCCTGTCACTGAGGCAGAGTGCAGCAAGGCTTTCAGTCTCCAGCAGGGATGTCGGGGCCTAGACCACCCCGTTCACTCCCCTCAGTAGTGTCTTTTCCACGCTCAAAGTAACTGTTCTATTAACCTCTCCTCATATGGCAGTGGTTCCATTCCTGATCATTTTTGTTGCCCTTTTCTGCACTTTTTCCAGTGCCAAGATAAAATATCTATTTAGATTGTAGTGACCCCATCTGCATGAAATTTTCCATATGTGTGTGTACTGTGGATTTATAAAGAAGTAATAAGATATTTTCTGTCTTATTCTCTGTCCCTTTTTAATTGTTTGCTTTTTTTGACTCCACATTGAATGGATATTTTCAGACAAGTATTCACAATGACTTCAAGATCTCTCTTGAGTGTTAACAGCTAATTTAGTTCCTGTCACTTTATGTATAGTTAGGATTATGTTTTCTAATATGCATTACTTAGCATTTATCAACATTAAAATGCATATGCCATTTTATTGATCAGTCACCTAGTTTTGTGATATCCTCTTGAAATAGTTCTGTCCAAACCAGACTGAAGTATCTTAAGCAGTTTGGTATCATCTTTAAAATTTGCCACCTTACTGTTTATCTCATTCCCCAGATCATTTATGAATATGTTAAATAGGATTGGTCACAGTACAGACTCCTGTTTACTAGTTTACCCATCTCCGTTCTGAAAACTAAAAACCTAAGAATGGCCATACCTGGTCAGACCAAAGGTCCATCCAGCCCAGTATCCTGCTTGCTGACAGTGGCCAATGCCAGGTGCCCCAGAGGGAGTGAACCAAACGGGTAATGATCAAGTGATCCTTCTTCACCCTCGGACAGACAGGCTAGGGACACCATTCCTTACTCATCCTGGCTAATACCCATTAATGGACTTAACCTCTAGGAATTTATCTATCTAACTGATCATTTATTCCTGCCCTTCATTTTCTATCTTTTAACCAGTTAGCAATCATGAGAGAACCTTCCCTGTTATCCTATGACAGCTTACCTTGCTTAAGAGGCTTTGGTGAAATCCCACTTAGCTTGTTAAAGGTTTTGTGGAAATCTAAATGCCCTATACCCACTGGATTTCCCCCTAATCCACATGCTTTTTACCCCCCTCAAAAAATTGCAGTAGATTGGCAGGGAATGAGTTCCCTTTACAGAAATCATGTTGACTTTCCCCAACAAATTATGTTCATCTATGTTTCTGCCAATTCTGTTCTTTACCATAGTTTCAACCACAAGATAGGTTAAAAACCACCACCGGAATTTTCCCAATTTCACATTTGAGTTCTTTCAAAGCTCTTGGGTAAATGCCATCTGGGTCTGGTGACTTGTTATTGTTTAGTTTATCAATTTGTTCCAAAACCTCTGACATCTCAGTGTGGAGCAGTTCCTCTGTTATCTGCACAGATTTCTCTGTCACGCCCACACTTTAGGGACACACACCCTTACCCAATTCCTAGGGCTCAGGGCATAACCTCCTGTGGGTTTGCAGGATTTGTTACCACTGAAAGAGCCTAACACAGTAATATCCTCAATCATTATTTATTAGCCGTTACCAAACAGAATGCACATGCTAAGCGCGTACCAGTCCTGATAAAGGCAGGTGAACTTTCCCTGTTGGCAAGGTCAGTCTCATCTGGATGCTGGTTGCTATATTGTACTTCCTGGCAGCTCTGATCTTAGGCTGTGTTTTGGAGGCGAGTTGTTCTTCCAGGTCTTTCCTCCTTTGTTTCTTTCTTCCTTTTCCCTTTCTGATGGTCTCCTTGGACCCCAGTTGATATAGTGAAACTTGAGTCCAGCTTAGTTATTCCTTAACAGATTATTTTGGTAAAATTTTATTAACCAGTTGTAACATACTATAACAGAATTACCTAACCAATCATACCCCTCCACCTTAATTGATTTATAGCTAGCAAAAATACAGCAGACAGAAATAATTAAAAACCAGTCAGAGATCCTACAGGCAAACAATAGGAAAGTGAGGACCATAATAACAGAATGAGGATTCCACAACTATTAATAAGGAGCTTTTTGCCAGATAAAATGCTATTTCTTTACCCATCTTGAGCTCTATTTCTTTACCTGGTAGTAGTGGGTGCCATTAGGATGGAATATCCTTATCAGCCTGGTATGACATTATTTTAATGCAATTTAGATGGAATATGAGTGTGTTTCCCACTTTTAAAGCTAGCAGCTGCTGCTCTTTCAGTCTGGCTACAGAAGAAGATTTTAGGCCTTCCAATATGGCAACAGAAAAACCATATGTTACACCTCAGATTTGTCACCTAAAAAGAATAGCTTAGGTTTGGGAAACTTCCTCACATCCTCAGTCGTGAAGACTGATGCAAATAATTCATTTAGTTTTTCTGCAATGATCTGTTGTCTTACATTTTCCTGATAGAATTATCTGCTTCTGCCCAATGCTTATATTCCTACTATATTTGACCTGAATTTTTTTTCCTCCAGTTAACTAAAGGAACCAAGTGTGATAGAAGTTATGCCCAGAATATGTTTAATAAGTTTTTGCTCTTCAGTTAAGTGAATGCTTAGACTGGTGAGAAAAATGAATGTTCTGCTTGTGTGAGCTACTAACACACACTGTGGATTGGGTCTGGAGAGTGATGAAAAATTGAATTCATCCAACAATAAAATTTAAAACATCCCCTCTCTTCCCCCTCCCGGCCCCCCGCCCCGCACCCCCCCCCCCCCCCCCGACA